CCCCCCCCCCCAATAATGTAGAAATGCATCTTAAGGTTTCTGAAATGGAATTCAGAGAAAATTTCCTTAAGGAGTAATACCAAGATGAACCCACTTAAAATGTTTGATGGGGTGAGATTAAAGCTTCATGAATGTTCTTGTAAGTCTTAAGAAAAATAATAAGCTGCTCAATTAAGACTCCAGTGGTGTTGATGAGACAGTGAGTGGGTACAGGTGGCAGAGAACCTGGGGACACTGAATATGTAGAAATGGGGGTCCTGACCTGTATCTTGGGGGTGCCAAGGGATTAACTAATAACCTTTCAGAACCACAGGTCATAAGGGGTCTCATCTTCAGCGAGGATCCTGTTAGGTCACTTTAGCCAGAATCCCCTTTACTCCTGATGTTTCCTCTTAGTCGTTTTCCATCCATTGGCCCCCACCCTGCTCCTTAGCTGTAAATTCCCACTTGTCCATGCTGTGATCGGAGTTGAGCCCAGTCTCTCTCCCTCACTGCAAAGTTCCCTTACACCTGTACCTATGGTGACAAAGTCTCCCTCATCATGCTTAAAAAAAAAAAAAATTCCTCAAGGGGTCAATCTTGAGAAATCAAGACTATGGTTTCAAAAGAAGGAAACAACCACAGCAAGTGGTAAAGCTTCATAAAACATGCATTTAAAACGAACATTTAGAGGTATTAAGGCTAAGGCCAAGAGATATAACTTGAAGCAACTAGACATATAACAATCTAGGGATATTGTGAGACGAGATAGTGTGGCTTTTGCTCTGTCTCTGGTTCCTGCCTAACTTAGGATAAATCAATTCATTTCCCCATTGGAGATATGGATTTTTAATTAAAATATCACTAAAATTTTAATTATCCCCAAACAAAACACTGTTTTTGAGTGTTAATTGTTGCAATAGTAACTGGAAACATACCATGTGTCCATGAAATACAAAGAAATATTCAGAGTTTGTTCTGAATTTGTTTTAAAACCCCCTAAAGCCTCCAGTTAAGCACAATGACTTGCACAAAGTTGGAATGGAATTTCTGTCACATCCATCCCTCCCCTCACTGCCATTGAAGGGCCATATCTAAATGGAAGAAGAATGTGGCCACTAGCGGTACTGGATTGTCGCTCACTCATACTCAGGACATGACATTTGTAAATGCTTTGCATTTTAAAAAGTGTCTCCATATCTACAATCTAATGTGATTCTCATAATTATGTGAGAGAGCTGCTATTATGAACTATACATCCGTGGACCCAGAGAAAGAAGATACCTATGGAAAAAGGTTCCTGGTGGCTAGCTGGGCTCAAATTAAAAAACAACAACAAAACTCAGCATAGCAGTCATTTCTACACAGGGGCCTCTCACGCAAACTTCATGGAGAATCCTACAATTAATTACCTGCATGCACTGTGTTTCTACCATCTAAGCCAGCCTATATATAGATAGATATAATTTTTAATACTCACCTGAGGATATTTTCCCCCCCATTGCTTTTCAAAGAAAGGGGAAGTGGGGG